CTGTCTGTCACACGTCGCACGAAATGCTAAACCAAATATCCAGCCACCAAATGCGCTAATATTGCAGGGTGTATATAGTGAAACAAATTACACCAAAACATCAGGCAAAACAACAAACAACTGCCAATCTTGCGCTTATTGAAAAACAGAATATCGTACCTTTTACTTGCTGTTTAGTTGTAACCGATCTGTGGTTGAAAATCAATACAAAATTAAATATCATAAATTTGAGATAAATTTGAGCTGATTGCGCATGTGTGGTGAGGTGAGACGGATTTATGAAAACTGCGCACACAAATGCGCACGACCACAATTCCATGCGACGCTAAAAATCTGCTTTTTTACTACCTACTGCACAAATTAAGCTGCTGCTTCGCTCCGCTCGCTTCAGGCTCGCTCGCTCCGCAGCAATAATAATAAACACTTTATCCAAACAGGGTGACTAGAGTTACACGAAGTAATTTTCATCTAGGTCCTAATATAAGAGATCGCATTAAGCATTTTTAAATTATCTTTGCGATCGATGAATCAGGCGGGAATTGCAATCGTATATATGATAATGCAGTTGAAACAGATCTAGCCAGTTATCGGAAAATCGACTGAAATTCGATATCTGTCCTTGGGGGTATTTTCTGTACATTCATGAGTGAGTCATGCTTTGGAAATGACAATATTTTTTTTATTACTCAACCTCTTGAGTTGTTTTGTTTCTCATTTACCCAACCTTTTAATTACTCACATAAAATAATAAATATTTTTGGGGTCAGTAAATTAATAGGCGTAGCAATAAACGTGTTCGCCATACAATCGTATAAAAATTTAAAACTTTACCCTGTCCTCAAATAGATTGCCAAGTTTCGTTAACTGTCTGGAATCGAGCAAATCCTTCAAATCATTCCCAATTTGTATGGTTACTTTATCCGCATCTGATCCCAGCGCCACAAGCCAAACATCAATACCCTCCTTGGTTTTATCTGCAGGCATTGCACAATTTGTTTCGCTGTTTACAATGAATATGTCGGTAGTTTTCAATTTTTTGCCTTTCATATCATACGATCTGCTGGCGATCGTTTCTCTGAAATGTTCCTTAATTTTACAAAATTCATACCATGTATATTCCATTGTGACAATCACATATACATTAAATTCAACTTGTGGGGGTTTTTTAGTCGATTTTGGTTCGCGAACGTTTCCTTTGAATGTCGAGTTGAAAGACGTTGTATCTATTGCTAATGCACCAAGTGAACCATCTTTTATTTCATCCCTAATTACTTTCCCGGCACTACCTATCAATATACCACTAGGATCAGAACCTCGCACTCCAAGCACTAACTTATGTTCAGTAATCAGGCTACCACACTTTAGATCTGTTATCGTTAACCTACAATCTGTTTCCTTAAACGCGCTTATACCACAAATTTGGTTCTCCAAATACTTTTGACAAGCTGAATAGTAAGGTGAATCTTTCTCCGTGTGTTCGTCGGAACATTCGTTGATAGCTACAGAACATACTTGTTTTTCTTCTTCATCTTCAATTTCTGTGTTGCTTTTCGTTATTGTCATTGTCATGATATATGCGCAGTAGGTTGTATTTGGTGTTGTTGGGCTAGTTGTACTTGCTGATGTTGTTGGTACTATGGTATTTGTTGGTGTTACTCTGGTTGTTGCCGGTGGTGTTGCGGTTGTTGTTGGTGATAATGTGTTCGTTGCTCTTGCTGATGGTGATTTGGTTGTTGTTGGTGATGGTGTTATGGTTGTCATTGGTAGTGATGATGGTGATGTTGCTGGTGGTTTCAGGCTGGTACCAGTTGCTGACAATTTTGGAGTAGTGACATTTGCTGGTGGTTTTGGATTAGCAACAGTTGCTGATGACTTCAGAGTAGTAACATTTGCTGATGATATTGGAGTAGTAACAGTTGATGATGATATTAAAATAGTAGCATTTACTGATGGTTTTGGAGTAGCAACAGTTGCTGATGGTTTTGGAGAAGTGACATTTGCTGATGATTTTGGAGTAGTAGCATTTACTGATTGCTTTGGAGTAGCAACAGTTGCTGATGATTTCAGAGTAGTAACATTTGCTGATGGTTTTAGAGTAGTAGCATTTACTGATGGTTTTGGATTAGCAACAGTTGCTGATGGTTTTGGAGTAGCAGCATTTACTGATGGTTTTGGAGTAGCAACAGTTGCTGATGGTTGTGGAGAAGTGACATTTGCTGATGATTTTGGAGTAGTAGCATTTACTGATTGCTTTGGAGTAGCAACAGTTGCTGATGATTTCAGAGTAGTAACATTTGCTGATGGTTTTAGAGTAGTAGCATTTACTGATGGTTTTGGATTAGCAACAGTTGCTGATGGTTTTGGAGTAGCAGCATTTACTGATGGTTTTGGAGTAGCAACAGTTGCTGATGGTTGTGGAGAAGTGACATTTGCTGATGATTTTGGAGTAGTAGCATTTACTGATTGCTTTGGAGTAGCAACAGTTGCTGATGATTTCAGAGTAGTAACATTTGCTGATGGTTTTAGAGTAGTAGCATTTACTGATGGTTTTGGATTAGCAACAGTTGCTGATGGTTTTGGAGTAGCAGCATTTACTGATGGTTTTGGAGTAGCAACAGTTGCTGATGGTTGTGGAGAAGTGACATTTGCTGATGATTTTGGAGTAGTAGCATTTACTGATTGCTTTGGAGTAGCAACAGTTGCTGATGATTTCAGAGTAGTAACATTTGCTGATGGTTTTAGAGTAGTAGCATTTACTGATGGTTTTGGATTAGCAACAGTTGCTGATGGTTTTGGAGTAGCAGCATTTACTGATGGTTTTGGATTAGTAACAGTTGCTGATGATTTTGGAGTAGTAGCATTTACTGATGATTTTGGAGTAGCAACAGTTGCTGATGATTTCGGAGTAGTAACATTTGCCGACGATTTTGGAGTAACAACAGTTGCTGATGGTTTTGAAGTAGTAACATTTGCTGATGGTTTTGTAGTAGTAACATTTACTGATGATTTTGGAGTAGCAACAGTTGCTGATGGTTTTGAAGTAGTAACATTTGCTAATGGTTTTAGGATAGTAGCATTCACTGATGGCTTTGAAATAGCAACAGTTGCTGATGGTTTTGTAGTAGTAGCATTTACTGATGGTTTTGGATTAGCAACAGTTGTTGATGATTTCAGAGTAGTAACATTTGCTGATGGTTTTAGGGTAGTAGCATTTACTGATGGTTTTGGATTAGCAATAGTTGCTGATGATTTCAGAGTAGTAACATTTGCTGATGGTTTTAGAGTAGTAGCATTTACTGATGGTTTTGGATTAGCAACAGTTGCTGATGGTTTTGGAGTAGCAGCATTTACTGATGGTTTTGGATTAGTAACAGTTGCTGATGATTTTGGAGTAGTAGCATTTACTGATGATTTTGGAGTAGCAACAGTTGCTGATGATTTCGGAGTAGTAACATTTGCCGACGATTTTGGAGTAACAACAGTTGCTGATGGTTTTGAAGTAGTAACATTTGCTGATGGTTTTGTAGTAGTAACATTTACTGATGATTTTGGAGTAGCAACAGTTGCTGATGGTTTTGAAGTAGTAACATTTGCTAATGGTTTTAGGATAGTAGCATTCACTGATGGCTTTGAAATAGCAACAGTTGCTGATGGTTTTGTAGTAGTAGCATTTACTGATGGTTTTGGATTAGCAACAGTTGTTGATGATTTCAGAGTAGTAACATTTGCTGATGGTTTTAGGGTAGTAGCATTTACTGATGGTTTTGGATTAGCAATAGTTGCTGATGATTTCAGAGTAGTAACATTTGCTGATGGTTTTAGAGTAGTAGCATTTACTGATGGTTTTGGATTAGCAACAGTTGCTGATGGTTTTGGAGTAGCAGCATTTACTGATGGATTTGGATTAGCAACAGTTGCTGATGATTTTAGAGTAGTAACACTTGTTGATGATTTTGGAGCAGCAACAGTTGCTGATGATTTCGGAGTAGTAACATTTGCTGATAATTTTGGAGTAGTGACATTTGCTGATGATTTTGGAGTAGTAACAGTCGCTGATGTTGTTGGTGATGGTGATGTACCATTTCCTAGTGACAACGGAAAAAATCAATCATAGTAAGTATTAGTAAGGCGTAAAATTCGACTTATCGATTAGAGACTGGGGATACCGGATATGGAGAAAACAATCGCTGCAGCCTGCAACCTCATTTTTAACAGCGCGATGTTCTTGTATATGATGTATGTTTTGTCAGAGTTTTAGTCCACATCATCTATCCGAAATCCGTTGCCCGTTGTTTGCTATACATAGTTTGAGTACAATCAGAATTTATAAATTGTGTTAGAGCGTAGTGTCAACAAATATTTCATCAATGTAACTGATCCACTAATAATAAATTGGTTACTAAGAGGGCGTCAGGTGAAAATGTATATTAGCACATATTAGGATTGTTTTTGCACTCTATCCAAGATCGAAAAATCTTGAAGAAAGTAAAATATCAAATATTCGCGTCTAAACATGTTAGAGCTAAAACGAAAGTTAGAAAAGCTAATTCGTATTTTCATAAAGCGCTACAAAGAGATGTCTAGATAATTATGAGAACACTTTTTCCAAGGAATTCAAAACGGTCATTAAGTAGTTTTATTATATGGCAA